AGCCTCTTCCCTGGACATGTCCAGGCCTACCAGGTGGGCCCGTGAGAAGGAATGGAGAGGCTGGCCCTGGGTGAGCCTGCCTCCCACTCATAGTTGGGAGAAATCACAAGAACCAGGGAGCATGGGGTCTCTTGAGTTCTGAAGTGTGTCTTGATTGGGTCTTAAGGCTTGAAACTGGAAGTCCCCCAGGCCAGGAATGGTGGTTCATGCCTATAATCCCAGCACTTTGGAAGGCTGAGGGAGGAGGATTGCTTGAGCCCAGGAGTTTGAGACCAGTCAGGGCAACATAGTGAGACCCCATCTCTGCAAATATAAAAAAAGGAGGTATGGTGGTGTGTCCCAGCTACTTGGGAGGCTGAGGTGGGAGAATCGCTTGAGTCCAGGAAGTTGAAGCTGCAGTGAGCTGTGATCATGCCACTGCACTCCAGTCTGGGTGACAAAGGGAGACCCTGTCTCAAAAAAAAAAAAAAAAAAAAGAAGAAGAGAGGGAGGGAGGGAAAGAAAAAGAAAGGAAAGAAAGAAAAGAAAGGAAAAAGCCTCACTTGGTGTTGGGAGTCCTGTGTTTGAGCCTGCTTCTGGCTGTGATCTGCTGTGTGACCCTGGGCAAGACTGTGTCTTCTCTGGACCTCTGGTTCTTCTATTGGGATGACTGAGTTGGAGCCAATATCTCAAAAGCCCCTTCCAGCCTAATGATGAATGTGCTTCCTGTGGAAGGGGTGCAGCATGGTGGTGAAGGGTCAGGGTTCTGGAGTCCCACTGCCCGGGCCCAGAGCTTGGTTCCACACTTCCTGTCTGACCTTAGTCACGTTACTTGACTCTCCTGAGCTTCAGTCCCCCATCGTAAAATAGGTGAGGTAATAGTTGTGAATATTAGATGATGTACACAAGTCACTTCATATACTGCCTGACACATGGTAACTGGCTAGTGACAGCTACCACTTAAAGACTTGGGGGGTAAAAGACAGGTTTCCCCATGCTGTCGAAGGAGGCAACCTGACTGCGGGATGGTTCAAGCTCCACAGTGTGGTCAAGGCAGGGCCTGCTGGGCCTCCCTCTAGGGCGCCCATGACCTGACCTGGCTCTCCCCCTTCCAGGAGGCTCTGAAGAGCGGCATTCACCGTACTGTCCACGCCGGGGAGGTGGGCTCAGCCGAAGTGGTAAAAGAGGTGAGGGCCTGGGCTAGCCATGGGGTCCTTCCTCCCTGCTTCCTCCCATACTTGGCTCCATTCTGCTTCTCTACAGGCTGTGGACACACTGAAGACAGAGCGGCTGGGACATGGCTACCACACCCTGGAAGACCAGGTCCTTTATGACAGTCTGCGGCAGGCAAACATGCACTTTGAGGTGAGCGGGCTGGGGAGTGGGGAGGAACCATCCTCGGCTGTCCCCACTTCCTGTATAGAGAGGCAGAAAGCAGGGTGGGTCCCAGGAGCTAAAGGGGTGGCCCCAGGCCCAGACATGCGGGGAGGGATCAGCATGGCCTGGGCCATCCCTGCCAGCCACACACCTGCTCTTCCAGATATGCCCCTGGTCCAGCTACCTCACTGGTGCCTGGAAGCCGGACACGGAGCATGCAGTCGTTCGGTGAGCTCTGGTCCTCTGTTCAGTTTTGTTCCAGGAAGGCCAAAGAGGGAGGAAACTGTAGGAAACAGGCATCAGCCCATGCCGGGTCTCTTAGATATGAAATCTCTTTGATGCCCTGGGAAGCAGGCATTGCTGTCCTCATCTTACAGATGAGGACTCCAAAGCCAGATGTGCTGTGGCTTGACTGGGATTAACCAGCAGAGCTGGGGCCTTACAGCTCATTCAGCTGCAGGAGAGGGCTCCGCTGCTCTGAGGGAAGCTTCCACACTTCCAATTCCCCCAACTCTGCCTCCTGGGCATCGCATAGGAAGCAGGAATCTCTCCTGCCAGTATGTTTTCTGTACTTGGCACCTGGCCCTTGGGACCCCTGGGCATTCCCCTGAGTGTCATCTTAAAGCTTTCCATTGGAGGGTCTGTTCCATCCTCCCTGGCTCCCATCGTGTAGCCTAACCAGGGCCAAGCCCTAGGAGTAATATCAGGCCAGCACTGATCCATTTGCCAAGCTTATGAGAAGAGGAGGGGCTTGAGCTCTGATGTTCTGAAGACAAGGGGGTCTTGAGGCTTGCCTTAGGAACATGTGGCACCTGTGGAGGTTCTTGGAGGCACGTGGCTATACCATGGGCTGGAAAAAGATCCACGAGTCATCTGCAGAGATATGGTGGTTGAAAGAGAAGCACTAGCCCCAGGAGGTGGTGGAGCAAGAGGGCCTAGGATAGAACCCAGAAGGACAATGATATTTAAGGGACCAGCAAAAGAGACAAGTAGGAAAGTCAGAAGTGTGGTGTCAGAGAAATCTAGGGAAAGAGTTTCAAGAAACAGCATTATTAAATTCTGCTATATGAGTCAATTATGGTCAGAGCTAGGAAAGATCGTTAGATATAAGATGATGGTCAGGGATTGTGCTAAGAACAGCTTCCATGGTATGTTGGAATAGCCCGCTCCCAGTGGGACTGAGGAACAAGCAAGGTAGGGTGCAGAGGGGAAGGTTAGAGAGGGTGGCAGCTGGAGGGGGGTGCTACTTTTTTTGGCTCCCTCCCCCCACCACCACTGGTCTTCATTGTTCTCATGTCTGGCCCCTCTGCTACCTTTGCCCAGCTCTGGTCTGCAGGATGGGTTGGAGTCTGGAGTTTCTAATTATGTAGCCTTGGGCAAGTCATGGACAAGTCACCTGAGTTCTCGGAATTTATTTCCCCCTCTGCACAAGGATCAGCTCTTTCAGATCTGTTTGAGGCTGCTGTGAGGATCAAAGGCGGGTGAACATCAATGTGCTGTGACTACATAAGAGTAAAAGGAGGATCATTCTCTCCCTCTCCCCCTCCTGCAGTCTCAGAAATGACCAGGCTAACTACTCGCTCAACACAGATGACCCACTCATCTTCAAGTCCACCCTGGACACTGATTACCAGATGACCAAACGGGACATGGGCTTTACTGAAGAGGAGTTTAAGAGGCTGGTGAGTGGGTGTGAGCCATACTGGCCTTGACTAGGGTTTGGGAGTATGAGATCTACAGGTCCTGCCCAGGGCCTGGAACCCTTGGGGAGAGGGAGCAAGTTTGCCTGAACGGTCCAAGACAAGCCCAACCTAGACACTTTCCACAGAGAAGACATCTTTGGGTTGATGTCCTGACCTAGGACCAGGTTTTTGATCCTTTGCTTGGGTTGAGTGCCTTTAAAGAATCCAATGAAAGCTGTCAACCATCTCCCCAGAAAGGTGTGCCCAGCGATGAAGTCTTGCGTGCTCTCTTCAGGTTGTTCTTAGATCCCAGGCTGAGTGAGTCCATTCCTGCAGGTGTCTTTGGGGTATCTCTGCCCCCCTCTACATGCCACCCTGTTTCAAAGGTTTCCCCAACTTCCTTCTTGCAGCCCTTTATCACGTAATGACACATTGAAAACATGACCCCATGGTCTCTACTCTTGGCACTTGCTGCCGCGTGACAGTGGACAAATCCCTCCCCTCTAAGCATACCTGCCCATGTTCAGTGAAGAGGATGGACTATCACTACATTGCAAGAGCTGCCTTCTTTGTTCTCTGGTTCCATGTTGTCTGAATTCTGGCCCTTCCAGAACATCAATGCAGCCAAGTCCAGTTTCCTCCCAGAAGATGAGAAGAGGGAGCTTCTCGACCTCCTCTATAAAGCCTATGGGATGACACCTTCAGCCTCTGCAGGTAGGTTCCTGTCTGGGCTTCTGGGTGGTTGCCCTGTGCTGGCTCCAGCCTGGCTTTCTGTAGGACTTCTAGCAAGGTGCTCTTCCTTTCTTGGGCAGTGCCAAGAAGGTGTGATGACTCCCTGGTTTCTGGGCCCTGGCCGGGAGCAGCGTCTCATTAGATTGGCTTGTTTTTCATATAACTTCTTGAGAGGCTGTTTGAAGGGGAGACTTTCTGAAGCCCAGTCCCAAAGATCTGGGAAGCTTCGGACATCTCCATGGCTGCCCAAAGCCAAGTGCAGGGAGTCGGGCCCAGGCCTGTTCTGCTTCTTTCTACCACTGTGGTCTTGCCACGGCATCTCCTTGCCATCAGTAGGAAGGAGTTCTTTTCTGGTTCTGGTGTCCTATGATTTTTACAACATCCTGGGTACTCCAAGTTGCCTGATCTTTCTGCTTCTCTGAACCAACGAGCAGGGCAGCACCACTGAGGACGCCACCCCTCCAAGCCTTCACCCTGCGGAGTCACCCCAACTCTGTGGGGCTGAGCAACATTCTTAAATTTATTCCTTCCAAGAAGTCCCTGATCTCGATGGTCAGTTACTGATGCTCCTGAAGCCTGTGTGTCCATTTCTGCACACACGTATACCTCGGCATGGCTGTATCACTTCTCTGATTATGTGCCCTGGACAGGGGGACCAGCACCCTTGCACATGGGCATGGTTGAATCTAAATCCCTCCTTCTGTGGCAACTTGTACTGAAAATCTGGTGCTCAATAAAGAAGCCCATGGCTGGTGTCATGCAGCAGGTGGCATGTAATTTGGTCTTGGGCAGGGTGAGAATGGAAGGAGCTAGGTCAGCCTGCTCAGTAGCAGGGCTTGAGCCCAGGGAAGGCTGTGAATGCTAGGCCAGAGCTCCTAACGCCGTGGGCCAAGAGAGGGCCAGCGACTGTCCTCCTTCCAGAAGAAACAAGGCTTCTCTGGTTGTCTGCTCAAACATTCCCTGAACTCTGAGCCCCTCCTAATTCTAGGTTTGAAGGAGTAAACCTTGCTTTTGAGTTCCTAAAACTGGCAGCTGGGGTGACAGCAGACGAGATGGAAGAGGGCTCATCAGACATTGGGTCTCGGAGTAGTGCTGGCCTCTGCGGAACGCCGCATCTTCTCAGAATCTTACACTCCAGAAGCCTGGGGCAAGTTGGCTAATTGTGGACTTGGGGAAAATAAGGCCCAACCCCTGTTTTTGCTGCTTTAAGGAGAAATAATCTTAAACCAGTCACACAAGTCATCAGCATTTATTTCCTGGGTCCTAGGTGTCACTTATCCTGGTAGAAAGGGCAGAGGTGGTCAAATAGTTTTGAGCCAAAATCCCTTCCCTAAAAATGGACCTGTGAAGCTCCATGAGGGAGCTGCACAGACAATGAGAGTTTAGCTAAAATGGCTTAAAAAAATGTGAATTGATTGTCAGCTCTCTCCGTCTCTGCTGAAAAAAGATTTAAAATTTTTAAAAAGTTTAAAAGTGTTTTCTAAAAAAGGGACAAGAAGGTCTTGACCCAGAAGGTTGGGGCTGGAAAGGAAGTGTTGGTGTTGGGACAGGGTCCCTGCCCAGGCCGCTCGTGAGAGGAGCGTTCTTGCATGGGCTGCTCACTGTAGGGCAGGGCCCCACCCAAGTCCCGGCACCAGCTCAATAAATAACATTTGTGGTTACAGTGTCTTGAAAGTGTACCTGGGCACGGTGAGAAGGTGGTGGGAATGTGGAGCCTGTGGGTGTGGGCAGAGGACTTTCCCGGAGTGGAGGCCACAGAGGCCTCTGGGGAGCCTTCTCAGTCTGGCCTGGTTTATCTGGGACATGGGGCTCAGAGAAGAGGCTGCTGGGCCAGTGCCAGGGTTCCCCCTCTGGGAGGGGACAGAAGGTATCTCATCCGGCCTAATTGGATGAGATCAGACTCAAGACGAGGTGGTCCCATCGCTGCTCTGGGGCTGGTTGCCGGCTTCCTTGTCTGGGGCGCTTCCCTCCACCTGTCCTTCTGGAGAGGAGAGAAAGGTTTTTCTTGGGCACATATACACAAAGTAAAGCACAGAAGCGGGTGTAAACGGGCCTAGCCAAATCGATCACAGTGGATATGGCCTGGGGAGCAAGACAGGAGCTGGGCTGGGGTGGTGGTGGCCAGTGGGACTTTGGCCTGGTCTGTAACATCTTTTTACATGGAAATGCACGTGCTGTTAGTATAATTAAAAGTCAATTAAGGGCCATTTTGGATGGGTGCTTAAAGCATCTTGAAGGTTGTTTTATTTGTGCAGGTTCCCAGAGGGGGAGGCCAAACGTTAAGTCCCCAGAGTGTCACAGGTGCTCAGCAAATGGCAGCTGTTCTTCTAAGACAGTAAAGAGCCCTGAACCAGGCCAGCTCAGGGAGTGCTAGGGTGTGGCCTGCATTAGGCCTGTGGCTGCCAAGTGTGCAGCATGAGGTGTGTGCTGGGCCACCTCCCCAAACAGACACCTTGGCAGCTTGAAGGACAGCAGCAGGCTCACAGAGGGGGAGCACCTCCCCCAGGGAGGCAGGGTACAAGCCGGGTCTCCACTCTCAGCTTCCTCTGAGCCCCACTGTGCAAAGTGGGACAGGCAGCCTCTACCACCCACTGTACCAGCAGTGCAGGGTGAGGGAAGTACCAAACTCACACCCAGGCACCCAGTCTCCATGCCCTCCTCCTCAGGCTGCACAATAAACATATCTTTTCACAAGGTGCCCCCACGTGGGGCCTGGCATGTGAGCAGAGTTCAATCAGTGGTGTGTTCTTAAACCCCAGTGACACTGCAAGCTCATCGATGGACTGAGTTCAAATCCAGCCCAAACAGACCACACCTTTGCATCTTTCAGGCTAAGCCCTTTACAGAACCAGGAGAACCACCACCCTATGCCTAGCTCCAGGGTCTGCAAACAGATGGGCACTTTTTCATGCAATGCACACAGTAACATGGAGGTGTAATGAGGGTCATGATATGCACAAGAAAACCAAGGCTCAGTGAGGTGAGCTGATTTGCCTGGATCAAGGGTAGAGAGCCCTGCTTGCCACCAAGGCCAGTACCTCTTCTACCAAAAGTAACCTCTTCCAATAAGCAGCATCCCTGAAGGTTTACAGAAGCCTGGCATCAGCACTGCTTCACTGTGCCCTGCAGCAGGCTAGGAAGTGGGTGGTAGCTCAGTACCCTATCCTGGGAAGCCTGCTCTTATTCCCAGCGGGGTGGCGCCTGGAACTCTGTACTCCCCCTGCCTTGGGGAGTCCGCTGGACTGAGAGCCTGGCCCGCAGCCCTGCCCATGGAAACACAACTGCTCACTGTGGCCTCGTGGAAGGCTCCTTGGCCAGTTGCTCTTGCCTGGACACCACCATGAGTGTTTCGTTTCCTCTGTTCCCCTTTTTAAAAGTCAGTCACCCTGGCAGGCAAATGTCGTGTACCCAGAGGAACCCCACTGTAGGGAATCTGAGTCAGGGAAAACAGGTGTTAGGAGGGCCTGGGCACATGGGCCAGCAGCTCCAACTGCTGAGGTGTAGAGGGAGACAGAAACAAGTTCACCAGAGCTGAGGGTGAGGACATAGAAGCCTTGAGAGACAGCCCAGGGCAGTGTGCCCAGTGTGGCAGCTGGACATGCTGGTCATTCAGTCGGTCAATGAACAGCCATTAACTTAGCACCTCTGTCATGTGCCAAATGCCACCAGGCACCGAGGGCACAAGACACAGAGCCTGTGCTGGAGAAGCTCCATCTACAGCAGGGCACTATGCTCAATGGGCTCATGGAGGCAGATCATGAAGGCGTCTGGCAGGGGCACTGTGGTCAGGGAAGGTTTCTCAGCTGAGCAGATGCCTGGGTCCTAAGAATGAAGAGCGGCCAGCCAGGCAAGGGGAGGGAAGGAGAAGCAAAGAGAGGGGCAGTATGTGAAGGCCCACAGGAGCTTCTGAGAGATCAAAGTACTTTACTCCGGCTATTGAAAGGATGAGAGTTGAGGCTGAAGAGGTGAGCAGGTGAGCCCCGTGGAGGTTCTGCCTGGGCCACCTGACAGAGGAGGACTAGTAGACCACGGAACAGGGAAGGCTTGGGGATGGGGTTCCGTCGACAGGTGCTGGGGACTCGCAAGGCAGCCAGTTTCTCATTCTATGTTAACTCCCTGGTGGCCCTGAGCAAGCCCCCAACTTCTCTGGGCCTCAGTTTGTCCATCTATAACATGAGAGGGCTGGTCCATGCCCCTGCAAAGCCTTCTCTGTTCTGTACTTTTAGTTCACTTCTGGCCAGTGAGGCCCAAGAAGACTGGGGTTCCCCAGGGAAAGGCAGGGCTGTGACCCTCCAAGGACAGCCCGGGAGGGACAGATGAAGCCTGACAGCTGTGCTGTGATGAGACACACGGCCTCTGCGGTACTGCGGGAGCAGGAGGGAAAGGCCTCAGCCAGTGCAGGGGTCAGGAAAGCTTCCCAAGGAAAGTCCCAGGCTGACCATGGACTTGAGCCAAGGGGTTCTCTGGGTAGTGGAGGGAGGGCGGGGGTGTCCCAGTCAGTACTTGGGTGCATGGATGCTGTTTCCTTTTGTCATTCAGTCTGTGGTTACCAAGCACCTGCTGTGCCCCAAACAGAACACAAGGCCTCTGCCCTCCTGGCACTCACATTTGGCCACATGAGACCTTGTCAGAGAGTGGTGAGGGTCATGTGATTGGGGAAGGGTGATCTAGCCCCTAGAGAGGCTTGACTGAGAAACAGACCAAAGGTGGATGTAGCTGGAGGGTGGCAGGGAGAGGAGTGGCATCAGGTGTGTCTCGGGCAGGGCCTGGCCTACAGCAGGACTGCCCCAGGGCACTGAGACAAGCTTAGCGTCACTCAGTGACACACTGGGGAATTTTTTGGCAGAAGCATGATGGACAGAATGGTTTAAATGAGGGCTGCCAGCTGCTGCATTGAGCTAAACAGGAAGGGCAGAAATGGGTGCAGGCAGGCCAGCGGGGAGGCTGCATAGTCAGCCAGGTGAGAGCTGTGAGTGGCCAGAACCAACTATGGCTGTGGGGGTGGCGAGAAGTAGAAGGACCTGGGATGTACCTTGGAGGAGAACTGACAGGACTTATGGGTGGATTAGGGGGCAGGGGGACAGGAAGAGCCATGGATGCTTGGCCAGAGAGTCCTTGGGACCTGAGACTCAAACATCTTCCAACCTAGAGACTGCTGGACTCAGCCACTGGCCATGGGACAGGCCTGATTTACATGTGGTTTCTTCTCTAAGAAAGTGTGGGCAGCTAGGACTTGGAGACCAGCCCGGGGCCAGGCAGAGGGCCTCTGGCATGCAGGAGTGCCAAGGACCTGCTGGCTCTTACCTGCCCCCTCAAGTGCCAGCTCGCCCATGTCTCCAGCCAGCTTCCTCACGCTCACAGCCTCTGAGTCTCCCTGGATGTCGGGGACCGCATTCCGACGGCCTGTCCGGTCACAGGAGATGAAGTCTGAGTAGGAGGACTCGACCTCCATCATGCCCGTAGCATCGCTCCTCAGGCCTGTGGGGACAGGAGGCGGGGGGCAGAAGTAAGTCCAGATGCATTCTGCATAAAGGACAGCTCCAGTTCCCTGGCACAGGTGGCTTCTGTCAAAATGACAGTTATTGCCTCTCAATGAAAACAAAGCAAAAAGCACAGAAAAGTACAAAGAACAAAACAAGTCACTCATAATTCCATACCCAGACAACCACCATCAACATTTTGAAGAACATGGGTTCGGACTTTAAGTAAAATTATTGACAAACATGTATATACATTCATCCATACCACATGCCAGGCACTGGCCATAGACTGCAGATGCCCCTATGAACAAATTGGCCACGGTCCCTGACCTCACAGAGCTTACCATCTACCACAGGCAGCACAGAATCACCTTAGACCTAAGTCCTGGCCTTGGTGTGCAGGGCTTCAAGGGAGAATGAAGGCTGCTGGAGTGATCACTAGGGCCTGGCCAAGGCTGAGGGTCACGAAGTGACATTTTACTTGAGAACCAAGGATGACGAGGCTTCATGTAGATGAACAGTGAGGGAAAGAGCATTAAAGAGAGGGGAAGAGCATGTGTGCAGGTTCCGAGGAAGGCAGGCATGGGGGCTTGGAAAAACAGGAAGAGCCAGCAGGCAGGAGTATGGCGGAAGAGGGACAATGACAGCGAGGACACCGCTGAGGCAGGCAGGGGCCGGACCACACCTGGAACTTGGTCCCTGAGGGGCTTTAGGCCAGGTCATGAAGGAGCAGCTGTGCATTTTCAAAGATGACTCCAGCGTTCAGGCAGAACAGTGCTGGGAAGGGGCAAGTTAGGAGGCTCCTGTAGAAGTTCAGGTGCCAAGACGGTGGGTGGAGGAAGGTGGTGGTGAGGATTCTAGATGTAACTTGGAAATCAAACCAGCAAGATGTAGTGTTGGATGATGGGTAATTGATGTGAATAAAGGTGGACAGATGTGTGGTTTGCTGACATGAATAAGAACAGAGGAGGAATATTTGGGGGCATAAAGTGCTATTTGGCCATGGTAGTGCTGATATGCCTATGAGCCCTCCAAGGGGAGAGGTGGAGCCTTAGGTACATGGAATGAGGAGGCTGAAGCTCAGAAGAGAGGTGGAGTGGGAGGAAAGATAGGAAATTAGTACGTAGTTCTTGCTACAGAGATGGCAGTTAACAGCCCTAGTGGTTGGTAACACAGCCTAGAGAAAGAATAGCACCACATATATAAAGAAGGGCCACATACATTCAGAAATGATTTGGGGCCATACTTTATGCTGTGTTTTATAGCCTACTCTCTGCAATGCTTTAGAACATGTCGCTAAGGCTCCCTCCACATGAGTTTTGTGCCAGCACACTTGGATGGGCCATGATTTACTCTAGGATCGTTCCTCCAGAAATGAACACGGAGATCCTTTCCAGTTTTCTACCGCCATACACAGCACAGGGCCTTTATGTAAGTCTCTGTGCCCATCCCTAACTATTTCCTGAGAGTATATTCCTAGAATTGCTGGGCTAAAGGGAAGGGTGAAGGAATTTTTAGACTTTTGACACATTTCCAAGTTGCTTTCCCAAATGGCACAGTGGTATTTATGACAAAAAATTGGCAGAAAGACTTATAAAGTCAGTACTATTTTTATTTATAGCCCCACCAGTAGCACACAGGTTGTCTATCTGTACTCTTGGCAACAAGAAGTACCACTACTATGTTAATAAAAGGTTAATTTACTGAGGGGATTCTAGTATCTCTCTCATTGAGTGCCTATGGTTTTCTGAAGGCAATTAAGTAGCAGTCATAGCATGAACTCTGGCTACCTGGCAGACCTGAATTAGGAAGTGGGAGGGGTGGTCTAAGCACTGGCCTGACTTGAGGAGTTCACAGTCCGGTGGGGTGGGCCCAGCAAATTCTAGTTCTAGACCCACTCAGGCAAATGCCCAGTGTTTTCTATAGTGTGAGGATGTTTTTTGCACATGGTCAGTAATAGTAACCTATAGGAAACCACCCAAATGTCCATCAGGAGGTTAGGCATTGTGTGAATTATGAAGTATTCATAAAAAAGAAACATGCCGGGCCGGGTGTGGTAGCTCATGCCTGTAATCCCAGCACTTTGGGAAGCCGAGGTAGGTGGACCACCTGAGGTCAGGAGTTTGAGACCAACCTAGCCAACATGGCAAAACCCCGTCTCTACTAAAAACACAAAAATTAGCCCAGCATGGTGGTGTGAGCCTGTAATCCCAGCTACTTGGGAGGTTGAGGCAGGAGAATCAACTGAACCTGGGAGGCAGAGGTTGCAGTGAGCTGAGATGGCGCCACTGCACTCCAGCCTGGACGACAGAGCAAGACTCCATCGCAAAAGAAAAAAAAAAAAAAAGAAAGAAACGTGCCATACAGCCACTATGGAAAACAGTATGGAGGGTTTCAGAGAAAATTAAAAACAGAACTACCAGATAATCCACCAATCCCACTACTAGGTATATATCCTAAGAAATGACATTGGTATGTCAAGAAGACATCTGCCTTCCTACGTTTACTGGAGCACTATTTATACTAGCCAAGACATGGAATCAACCCAAATGTCCAACATGATTGAATGGATACAGCAAATGTATATATACACAAAGGAATATCATTTAGCCATAAAAAAGAATGAAATTGTCATTTGGGACACCATGAATAAGCCTGGAAGACATAATGTTGAGTGAAATAAGCCAGACACAAAAAGACAAATATGCATGATTTTATTCATACATGGAATCTTAAAAAAAAAGTCTGTATTATAGAAGCAGAGAACAGTGGTTATCAGAGAACAGGGAGGGAAGAGGAGAAAAAAGAATGGAAAGTTGGTCAACAGGTACAAAGTTACAGTTAGATAGGAGAAATAAGTTCTTATTCTACTGCACAGTATGGTGATGGTTAACAATAAGGTATTCTAGGCCAGGTGAAGTGGCTCACACCTATAATCCCAGCACTTTGGGAGGTCAAAGTGGGTGGATCACCTGAGGCCAGGAGTTCAAGACCAGCCTGGCCAACATGGTGAAACCCTGCTTCTACTCAAAATATAAAATTAGGTGTGGTGGCACACATCTGTAATCCCAGTTACTCTAGAGGCTGAGACAAAATCACTCAAACCCAGGAGGCAGAGTTTGCAGTGAGCTGAGATTGCGCCACTGCAGCCTGGGCAAGATAAAGCATTCTATAGTACAAAATAACTAGAGAGGCTTTTGAATATTCTCATCACAAAGAAATTATAAATGCCTGGGATAATGGATAGGCTAACTGCCCCGATTTGATTATTATACAACATATATGTATCAAAACATCAAGTTGTACCCCACAAATACGTACAATGACATACATGTCAGTAAAAAAATAATAATAAAGTAAGATATGTGCCCGATGGACCTGTACTGACATAAGACAATGTCTGAGATAAACTGGCAATTGAAAAATGGAGGTTGCAAAACAACACCCAAAATAAAACTCAGTTCCTGTGGGGAAAGACAACAGACATATGGCAAAAAAAATCTGAAAAAAACAGTATCAACCTTGTCAATTGTGGTTGTTTGTGATTAAGGGGAACTTTCATTTTCTAAGTCTATATTTTTTCAATGGTTGAAGTTTTTATAAACGCAAATTATTATGCAAGGCTTTTATAAGGTAGCTGACATTGGCAGGAAGTACCCAGAAAGCAACTAGGGTGGGGCTGAGGCAGTAAGTGCTGTAGAGGGGTGTGTGGTGGGGGGAGGAGAGGAAGATCATTATGGAGGGTTGGGCCCATATCCCCCCACAACACCTTGTGTGTGTGTGTGTGTGTGTGTGAGAGAGAGAGAGAGAGAGAGAGACAGAGAGAGACAGAGGAGAGGAGGATCAGTATGGAGGGTGTGTGTGAGAGAGAGAGGGGGGAGAGAGATCAAGAGAGAGATCGAGAGAGAGAAGAGGAGAGGAGAAGAGGATCAGGATGGAGGGCTGGGCCCACATCCCCCCACAACGCCTAGCTCAGAAGAGACACCTAAAGAATGAATTGGGGGCACTCAAAGATCAGATACGTGAGACAGGGAGGTGTCCCATGGTAGAAAGAGCAAAGAATGAGACACATGACCTTAAACCCAAGCTCTGCCACCAAACCCTGGGCAAGACCCTGCCTTTCTTCGGGCCTTCGTTTCCCCTGGGTAAAACAGAGGAGGCCAGGACACTGTTCACAGCAATTCCCCCCGGCTGCAGCAGATGGCGCGCCCTGCCTATCTTCCTAGCGGCCCTGAGCACTGCCCTAGTCACGCTCCACCTCCTTGACTAAAAGAATTCTCAGAAGTTCCAGAAGTGGCTCCTTCTGCAGATCACAGAGGTTCACTCCTGTCCTCTCCCTCTGGAAAAACTGCTCAGTGATTCAGGACAGAGAAATGGCTTATGATAATAACAGTAATAACAGGATAAAAATGATGCCGAAATTATTCCTGCAATAAGGAAAGGTACCATGGACCAGGTGCTCGTGTTTTCACACACATCTCGCACTCAGTAGCCACAGCTGTCCTCTGAGGTGAGTGAGGCTGGTTTAGAGCCACAGCTCAGAAGGGCCTCAGTTCCACCTGAAACCCACTGCTCTGGGGAGGGACAAACCCCGAGCAGGCCACGCCGGCTCCTGGAGCCTCCAAGTCCTCAGCTCTTTTCCTCAGTTAGAATGTCAGCTCCACGGGAACAGGAATTTTGTATGGATTTCTCCCATGTCCAGCTGAAACCTAATCCTGGCAGCTGAGCCAACAGGCTCCGGCTGTGCCATTCCCTGATTCTCCCCCAACACCTGGTGAACAGCTGGCACTCCATGCACACTCGCTGGATTTCACTCTCAGGCCTCTGAAGGAAACAGAGTTTGTGTCTATCCATCTTCTCCCCCGCTGCCCACCCCCCTCTGTGGGGAGGAGAAGCAGTTCCTTCTTGGGAGTGGTGAGAAAGGCCTCCATGCCCTGTGGAGGGCTGTGCAGGTGTTCTTGTCCTAGAAACTGACACCATGGGATGGAGTTACAGACG